GGCAAATGATGTGTGCGTGTTATACGCCGATATAATGTTAAGAAGTGGTAATAATATTAATAAAAAAAAGTTCTGAGCTACCCTTATTTTGCTTCAAAGTTCTTTATTTGAAATTTAAGTTTTTTTCCTGAAATTTCCCTCTTAAAATGAAGGTGCGTGTTATACGCCTGTGCGTGTTATACGCCGATAAATACGGTATCTTCAAAAACAATCATGCAACTTCTTCAATTTTATATTAACAACAAAACTTGCTTTTCCTTTTAAAATGAAAACTATCCAATATATACAAGTTCCCCTACTGTTCATTGGAATATATACTGTTGCTTTGCTGGAACTAGGGATTATACCACTGGATGATACATAGTGGTACCCTTACCTTTGTTTTAGACTCACTCACTAAATGTAACTGGCTTTGTTTTTGTTTATGAATAAAGAAAAAATGGAGTAAAAAAAAAGAAAGAGGGAATAAGCAGAAATTTGGAAATCTCAGGATCCCGGATCAAAGACTGTGTTGTGTGCTGATAACACAAAGAATTGGCCCCTTTTGTTATAGCCATTATCTTCAGCAATGAACCACCCACAAAATAGTTCTTCCCACTCTTGAGACTAGGTGAATTTTTCAAAACACTATTTCAGAACAATAAAAAAACTTATATATTGTTCTCACTTACTAATCACCTCATTTGCCAACTATTCAAAATTATGATAGTGAAAAGAAAAACTTTGTGACCAACCCTCACATTTATAATCTTGTTATAGCATTTTGAGGTCATGTGATCACCATTTGATACTTCCCAACCGGCTTGCAACAAACAAAGTTAATGAAGAACACAAAAGTATAATCACAAGTCACGGTCATATGTTTTGTTTAATGAGTAAATGGGAAGTGACACAAGCCTGTTGCAACCATGTGATTTTCTGCTTAATGACCACAGGACTTAGCAACAGAGTTAGCAATCCCAAATGTGGTTGCTGTACCTGCATTTAAATGTTTTCTGTGCTTTTTAGTTCAAAACAATTAATTATTTTTTTCCATTTACCAACATCCAACATCTAAAATAAAAGTAAGGTTGGGGAAAAGTTTTTAAAAACATTTATATTGATTTTTGTAGCAAAAATGCATAATTGTTTCCAATTCTATAGGGACTAGTTTTCCCCATGATCATCAAATGCTGGAAACATTGACAACCACTTTGTCAACTGTCATATAAAGAACTACTCCTTGAGACACCTAATTGTCCCTTTTTTATTTTGCAGAATGCTGAGAAAATGTAAGAGATTTTTAATTATGATTAGAAACCTTGTCACAGATTCTATCATGCCAAAACATACATTTGGAACTAGAAACAAGAACAACATTCAAGAACAACACTGCTAATAAGAGTCTGTATTGACATCTGTACAGACCATATAATATGTTGCCGAAGACATCTGCAGGGATGGTCAATACCAACAAAATGCAACTAGATGATCAAAATCTTGCTTTTTTTTTTTTAAAAAAAGTGCATTGCATGGTTGCACACTAAGACACACACACACACACACACAAACAATAAAAGATGGCAAGGTTTTGATCACCTGGCCATGCCTACCATTTTGACACTGCTATATGCTTCTGGAGATGTTTCATATGATGCACTGACACACCACTGGGAAGCTTCATCTATCACTTATGTTAAAAGGGATGTAAACATTTCTGTTTGTGTTAATATACTTATGGTAGAAAGAGATTTTCCAAACAAAAATATAATTTTAAAGAAAAGTTGAAAGCATCATACCTTTTTACAGATAACCCCAAAGTCAATTTCTCTCCCAAGTGCTGATTTGGTAACGTGATCAAGTTTTATTTCCTAGAAAATATAACAGAATTGGTTATTTCTTCTGTGCATGTCTGTCAGCAGTTTCAGTATAAGAAACAAGCAATGCAAATGTTATTTATGTGCTGCATTTCTGTTCAGGGAGAGAAGTCAATAAAGTAATTAGTTAAACATAAGTACAGACAAAAAATGAAGTAAAAATTATTATAGCAAAAGAAAAACCCATTGAAAAGCAAAAATATAATTATCTATTTGTTGCAATTATTTATATCCTACTTTTCAAACAACTCTCACAAATTCAAGTAATGCAATTCATTGCAAATAAAATACACATTATACTCGAAAAATCTGAGATCCTTTCTTGTAAAATGATAATGGCCAAAGAAGTAAATAGAATTGGCCCAGATGAAACAGGATTCAAAAATAGACCTTCCGTAGATTAGTGCAACTGTTAAAAGTAAACAAATAATTGTGCTTGTTTACAAAGTAAACCTTACATTCTAGACCAGGTACTGAAATGGTAGACAGTGCAACTTTGCTCAATCACCTTTATTTACTCCTGATGACCTGTAACAGTTACTGGGGTGATGGATAGCACAAATGCCAGGTAGGAGTTAGGCATGCTGACACAAAGGCATGAGGCCACAGGCACAAGGTTAGGGACAATAATTCTAAAAAAAACAGAATACAGTGTCTTCTGCTAGTTCTTTTCACCAGGGGTCCACAATCCCTGGCCCACTATTGGGCCGTGGCCTATTGGCAACCAGGCCATGTGAGAGGCAGGCTGGTGCGCATAGGCAGTTCCACTCATGCAAGCAGTGCCCCAATCTTGCGTGAGTGGAGCTGCGCACATGGTCTGAGTCCCCTCTCCCCCTCCAAGCCGGGCTGCCAAGCCACCTACTCCCGATGCTCCAAAAGTGGAGTGGTGAGAGCAGAGGCTAGGTGGGATGAGCGTCCCCTGCTCAGCTTCACTGACTCACCGAGGTTGCCTGCGCAGGACACCTGATCTGCTTTTGGAGCATCGGTCAGCTTGGTGAGTCTGAAGGAACACGAGACCCCACCCCCAAAGGCTTCTCTTCTCCGTGCCAAAAGCTTTTGCAAACGGACAAAAGGCTTTGGCGGAGCAATCTCGTGCTACTTCAGGCCTTCCGTCCCTTTGCAAAGCTTTTGGCGTGGAAAAGCCTGAAGGAGCGCAAAACCGCACCCAAAAGCTTCTCTTCTCTCTTGTGTGAGTGGAACTGCCTGTGTCCATGCACGCACCAGCCCACCACTCACAGGGCCCAGTTCCCCTCTTCCCCCCAGCTGAGCCACCAAGCAACAAAAGTTGGGGACCGCTGCTTTTGGCCATCTTTCTATAGTATTTCCATTTGTACTTTTACATTTGGCTCTTGATAGCATTTTTTGATGGAAAAGCTAATTCTGGTAATAATTCTGAATCTTATCTGAAAAGATTTTACAAAACTATAATAGTTGCTTTTGCAGCTTTGCAAACAATAAATTCTTCCCCAGTTTAACATTTTCCCATAAAGTCTATTTAACATATCTTGTGGCACATAACTAGAAGTAGGCATAAGGGTTATTTAGTAAAAAATAATCTCCAAGGTTGTCTTCTGTGTTACAGTGCTCCATCCGCAACTGCTCTTAAATATTCTGGCAGCATGCCATTTGACTTGCAATGTCAGCTTTCTCTTCCATGGAAATTTTTGAGGCAGTAGAGAGGACCATTATTAAATCAATATGGGGAACAACCACTAGGATCATCCATAACATCTTCCTGTTAATCTGGGTAAGGTTTCTTCCTGTACTTTTTCTAAGACTACATTAAATTGTGTTGCTAAATATTAACACAGACTTCCACTAGTAAAGCAGACATCATTTTCAACTTAACGGCTCTCACAATCAGCAATGCCTTTTCCTTGGCGTATTAAACTTTCTCAGATGCTTTGACTTGCATTTGGCTGTGTCCCACTTTTCCATCAGTTGGAGAATATGCAAATGGGGTACTTTCTAGGAATTGTATGCAACATCTAACAAGTTTGGAGATATGTGGTATTTTAAAGATATTTGAAACCCCCCCCCCCACAACTTGCTTAAGAGCTTAGGAGAGTAAGCAAAGAATTTCAAAATGTAGAAGTGTAGACAGGATGAGAATAAATGATTTTGTGATGCCAAATTAGACAAGTGTTGAAAGAGCTCTACTGACTATTGATTTGCTTAACTATTTTGATATTAAACTTTCTAAACAGCTTGGGTTTAAGCACTTTGGGATTTGGATGCCTCTGAGAACACTTTCTTCTTTACAGATCTGCCTAGCTGCTATGATTAGTAGAGCTCGCCCCTCTTTTGGTAACAAGGAAGTTTTAAAATACCTTCCATAACTGGCATAAACATTTTAAATCAAAGAGTTAATGTATTAGGAGCATGGTCAGATATAACAAGATGATGACTAGAAGAACATAAAACATATTCTATGGGCTATGTTGTAAAGCTATTATCTATTTGCCTTGGGGTCAGAGCACATGCGTGGAACAACATATACCAGAAAAAGATGTTTTATTTCCAGGAGTGCCAGTTGTCAGAAATCATTGGATCATATTGTGGCACAGAATAGTTTTAATAATAGTACTCATGAACATCTAATTCTTTAGAAAAAAATGTACTTTCATAATAGGCAGTAAAATCTTTTATTGAATAGGAGAGGTGGAAGCTGGGATTATGTCTTTAAACCAATTATTATGTAATTATTATTTTAAAGATTTTTCCTGACTTCAAATTAAATTTGTGTTTTTAGTTCACAACAGTGCAGCATTTTCAACAAGTATTTTGAATGGCTCAATATGAGTGAGACACATTGATCACTTCAAAGGCCTGTGAAGCTTTCACATTGGAAGGTATCTATGACAAAATAGACTCGATAATATATTTCCCTCAAAAGGGCAGGAGTTTTTTTTTAAGTGAACATTTTGGAATAATTTAAATATGAACTAAAGAATTGGAATCTCCAGTAATGCTCTATCAATGGCTACAATTCTTAAAAATATTAAAATGGTATTTGCAATTAAAGATTTGCAATTAAAGTTGATTCATCAAAATTTTAATATGAGTCTATTGGACTCCCTAAATAATGAATTCAAAAGGAAGGACATCAACATTTCATGTTGGAGGTGTAAAAATGTGATATTGACCCATAAGATATGGTTCTGTGATCATTTGTCAGTTTTTTGGAATGGTACTTTAATGCATGTAAGCAGACGTAGGGGAGGGATGTGGTAACCTAGCAGTTAGATGTTGGCTTGTCAACCAGAAGGTTTAGTAGTTCAAAACCCAAGCACCATGTGATGGGGTGAACTCCTGTCCTTGTTCCAGCTTCTGCCAAGCTAGCACTTCGAAAGTATGGAAAAGCAAGTAGATAAATAGGTACCACTTCAGTAGGAAGATAACAGCATTCCCTCTGCCTTGGCGTATAGTTATGTTGAGCACATGACCACAGAAGTGACATTAGACAATGCTAGCTCCCTTAGCTAGGAAATGGAGCACCACCCCCTAGAGTCGGACATGACTAGACAGGGGAAATCTTTATCTGTTTTCTTTTTTTAGGCTTATGGGATGTTAAATGTTAACCATGTCAAAGTGGTATTAAATTATGTACCAAATCTTTGGAACTTGTTTATCAGGAATTGACTCTATCATGCATGAGGAGTGTTTGAAAGAGTAATGTTGAAAAATTAGAAAAATGGCATTATTCCAGACATTGAAGAATAGCTTTTGGAAATAATTTCTTATCTGGCCTTTAAAAGGCAGTATTTTCCACTAATCAAAGGAAAATCATAATAAAAGATGAGGCAATATATTCTACTTTGGCAAGTTATATTGCAGTAATATTTCTCAATATGCTCAATATTAAATATATCTTCCAAGTCTTTCACATACTAGTTAGGTTAAAATGTCACTTCTTTATAAGGTAAGGAATTGACCAATAGGGAAAATCAGCTATATACCAACACCATTTTCAGTTTTTAAAACTCTGCAACACTTTTAATTTTAATGCATTGCAATAAAAAACTAAGCTTTTTTTAAAACGAGTACTTAAAAAGTACAGAGATTTTTCTCTGAGGCTGCAGTAAGATATTAAAATCCAACAGCAATAAGAATCTAGTTGCAGCCGGTGAATCACAGCAGTTTTCCAAATCTTTTTCAAAAGTAGCAAAGACTAGATCTTGAATGGCTTTTTACTGAGTCAGGTGCTGCTTGAACATCTGCCATTTTGCCCAGCATGCCATTCTGTAGCCAGTAGTACCAAAGACATGATCTATCTCCAGTTCTACATCGGCAGGCTAAAAAATTTAAAAATAAACCAATAACCCATTTGGAAGCAATGTCCAACATTCACTGAATCACAGAATTCATTGGCAACTTCGTAAAATTACAGGATACAGCTGTAAAATGCTTCCAACCTTGAAAACTTTGAAATCATGTCCTAATCTTGAAACATCTGAAATGGTTGTTTCATAATCAAACTATTTTGAGATAATTTTGTATGCAATGCATATATACTAAATGCAGTTAGCATTATCCGTCTAAGAAATCTCATTCAGAACAAGAATCATGTTCAACTGACCACATTTTACAACTTTTATTCAGACCTCTTTACCAGCACAAACGTTGAAAAAGGAGATGGTTTCCTGAATATTCTTATGTCCCTCTACACTACGGGTGCCAAACTCGCCACGTCACATGACGTGTCGCGACGTATTGCAACTTTTTTTGCATTGTCGGAGCTGGGGTGGGTACAGCCTCCGTATGATGCAACCGGCCTGCGGGCTGGCACTTTGACACCCCTGCTCTACATCTCCTAATTAATAATCTCTTAATAGGAAGTGGGGTTGATATACCTTTGCAACTTTGTTCAGGTCAATGATTACAGTTAGCCCATGAGTGGCATGATGGAGGCTCCAAAAGTAGCATACGAGTAAAAATTTTAACTTGATAATTTAATGTATCTTTAAAGTTAATTAAACATTGCACTGATTAAA